TTAATAAGCAGCAAATTAGGAGTTTATTGAGGCAAAAGTTGTAGTTAATGGTTTGTTAATAGCGAGAATTGGACCTTAAAATAAAGCGTGACCCTGTTTTCACTATGAAATAACTCTGTCCGCTCTTAGCATTTATTTGCATGTGGTTAATGTTGTTTTAGCAACATATTTACTAAATGAATTATGCCAATCAGGAAGTAACAATGAAATACAACCAAAAATTTGCACCAACTGCAATTTACATACTCCAATTCAGAGTCTTGCCGTTTGCAAAACTGTTGTTGTTGTTGTTTTTTTAAGTTAAGTGATCTGGGACAGGTTTTGTTTACAACTAAAGATCAGGTGTGGTAGATGTGGTAAAAAAAATGTGAAAATAGCTTAAGGTTTAAGGGTTGGCGCTGGCTAGATTGGAATCAATTTGTTCCTCTAGTGGTGAAGAACATGGTGGAACTGGAAAATAAAAGAACAATGTTGATTGGATATGTGTGTGTGAGTGGCTACACACCAGCTTTGCCTAGAAGATCAAGTAACAGGAAGCATTTTCTTATATCTTAGCCAACTGTTTTAGTTAAGGACTTTTGTTCAAATCCACCCGCCTAATCCTCCTCCCCTCATAAAACCACACTGTCTCCTGAGATTAAACATTATTTTTTTTGTTTTTACAAGTATGTCTTACCAGAGCTGTAAATCATGCTTTTTACATATAAGGACGCTGGTAGAACACCATAAAACTACAATCACAATAGTTTGGAATATGAATTATGTGGAAATAATAAAAAGGAGCAGTGACTGAAAAGCCAAGGTTGAACCGCAAAACTGCTCTCTGATGTTGTGCACAGTTTTTGCTGTGTACTTGACCTTGGTTCTTTAGGTGTTCTTCATTTGTGAATTACCGTATTGCAGTGAAATATTACAGTTATAATTGATTTTTTTCCCTCCCCTTTATTTTTCTGTTCTTTGTGACAAATCATGGTTAAAAATTCTTATCTGAATATTTTAAAAGGACAAAACATCCGGTCTGAGTTATCTGTGTTGTGTTGTTGTCTTGTTCCCCACAGTCACACCAGTGGAGAGGAAAGAGTGTTATTTCAACTTGAATGATGAGAACCTGTGTGATAAGGTGCTGGCCAGCAGCATGACTATAGAGGAGTGCTGCTGTACGCTAGGAGCCGGCTGGGGGGACAACTGTGAGGTCCATCCCTGCCCCATACCAGGAACAGGTACTCACGCATCACGCACAATGACAAATCTAAAAAGTACAGTACAAAGAACTGCAAGAATCTGAGGATAGTGAATGAACCATTCTTTTGAGACGATTCTTTGCAGCTAATTAATTGACCTGGTTCATTTTAGGTAAACTATTACTTTTAAACTTTAAGCAGAGTTGTGTTTTCCCTGTTTTAAAACTTTTTTAAAAGATATGATGGTGGTGAACTTAAAAAGATTAAAAAGATAAGGCCAAATTTACAACTCCAAGTAGGAACTATTTAGGCATCATGCATCAACTCAGTGAGTTAAACTTGAAGATAGTCAATTATTCATTCTTTTGAAGTGATTCTATGCAGTGACTGGTTCATTTTAGGTAAACTATTCATTTTAAACTAGAAGTAGAGCATAGTTTTGCTTATTTTGCCACTTCTATGGTGGGGAAGCCCAAATTACAGAAATTCATCTCAGCTTAGGAAAAAGTAATTAAAGAGATACAGAAAAGGTTTAAAGCCATTATCATTTAAGACTGTAATGATTCCTACAACATTTTTTACTTCAAATCTTCCTGCAAATTGGTTGAAGAGGACGTGTCCTGAAGGGAAGTATTGCGCATTAGTGCTTATAAATCTGTCTCTGCTAATTTCTTAATTTCAGACAGGCAGATCAGATTTCTTTGAAATTGCGGTAAGGTTCAATGCAAAACAATATCCACCTTTCTGCAGATGATGCCTGATGAAAGGTGTTCAATACATGTAAAAGCTTGTCTGTCCTATGATGATCTAAATGACTGAGAATCTTCACAGACAAGCCAATTGCATTAGTAAATCATGTCTGGACCTCATATAAATGAGAAGCAATCACTCTCATCTATATTTTGCTTTAACAGTTTGTAACTAAAAATCAATCTTCAACTTATATCCAATAATCACCATTCTTTAAGTAAATACAGCAGACTGTTTACTTTATGAACTGCTGACACTCTCCCATGCAGATCAGTTCTCCCAGATGTGTCCGGCAGGCCGGGGTTACATTCCTCCTGATGATCCTATGATTCCTACAACCAGCTTAGCAGGAAGCTTCAAAGGTATCTGTGTGTCTATGTATTTTTAAAGGGATAGTTCACCCAAAAATGCACAATCTGTCATCAGTTACTCTCTCTCACATTATTCCAAAAACCTGTATGACTGACTGACTCTGTAGAACACAAAAGAAGGTTTTTGTTCATACAATGAATGCCAGTGGGGTCCAAAACAGCACCGGACCCCAATGACTTTCATTGTATGGACAAAACAATAACATTGATTTCATTTTTGGATGAACTGTCCCTTCAGTGTCTGTTTGTATACGTGTGCTTTTGTGCTTATCTGGTTTTATGTTTAAGCTCTGATGTGTCTTGCACTTTTACCCCCATTTTATGCACATATTCTTGACTTTGTAATGCATGGAAGCAGCCGCAGACATCGCTTAGCATCTGACCTACATATGCTGAAACACACACACTCAGCAGCCTGCTTCGCAGTGTGGGGAAACCTCAGTCTCAGGGCCAGTCTAATGCACTGATTTAATTTATGAATGCAGCGAGAGTGTGGTTTGGCTGGTGGCAGCACGAGTGAATGCGATGTGGTCGGGATGTGTGTGTGTGTAGGCGTACGCTTGAATGGAATGCTTATGGATGGTAAGGACATTTCCTCCCTGTCAGTCTCCAGTCAAATGACATTTCTGCATGTAGCAGATCCCCAAATAAGAATATTAACCAGAGCAACACGTCCAGATGCATGCTGATATGTAGGTGTGGTCCAAGTTTTCAGGTTTATACTGACCTGTCTGTTTGTTTAATGATGAAATAATGAAAATGTGTTGATGTGTGTGATTTGCAGATGCAGATGAATGCAAGCTTTTTGAAAATGAGATCTGCAAAGACGGCTTTTGTCTCAATACCCCCGGTGGGTATGAGTGTTACTGCAAGGCCGGACTCTACTATGATGAGAGCAAACTGCAGTGTGTTGGTAAGGTCCAAAATCACAATCTGCATGTAACAAAATGTAATAAAATTATTGAATAATCTTTTCAATACAATATGTGTGTCATTGCTCCTTTCTCAGATATACACAGATTAAAGCAGCTTGATGCAGTTTAATTCAATATTTTAGAAGACAGTATTCAGAAATATAAAAAGTCACATGAAAGTGTTTTATTTTAGTCTAAGTATTCTTAGAAAGGTTAGAAAGTAATCTTAGAAGGGTTTGTTATTTATAACATCCTGCTTTAGCTGTTTATTGCCTGTGATGATTGGCCTTGAATTGTCACTGTGTTCTTTTGTCAGTTTGGAATTACAGGCTTGTGTGTGTTTTTGCTTGGGTGCATGCGAGTTTACATGCTGAATAGATATTGTGTATGGGTGTAAGTGTTGGCCTAGTTTGGCTCACCGTAACGCCAACGCATTTAAATTGGATTTAAATTTAAGTTTTAAACCTGCTGCAGCTGCCGGCTTGTGGCTTGCGGCCACATTATGCATGCAGCATGATAGCAGGTTATATGTGTATGTAAGCTTGGGTCAGAGGGCTACATCTTGCGACCGGTCAGGGCGGCACAGCCGTGAGAGCAAACTGCAGTGTGTTGGTAAGGTCCAAAATCACAATCTGCATGTAATCTCTGAACAACTGTGGATTACTCTGTCTCATCTGTCTTTTTTTCGTAAAGGGAGAGTTCATGACGATTACCTCATGTTGTTCCAAAGTCTTCTGCAGAGCACAAAAGAAGATATTTTAACAAAAACAAATTCGACCTCGTTGACTTCCATTGTTATGGTTATTTGGAAAATAATGGTATTCCATTGTTTAAAAAGTTATTTTTAAAAATATCTTCATTTGTGTTCCACAGAAAAAAGAAAGTCTAATACATTTAGAGTGGCATAAAAATGAGAAAAGTTTTTTGACTGATTTGACTGAAGTTATATGTGACCAGATCAGATTTTTTTCTTCTATTCTTCACTATGGTTCATTATTACGCAGTCTTTTCAAACCTGTATGACTTTCTTTCTTATGTGGAACATAAAAAAAGAAAATTTGAGAAATGTTTTGTCTTTTCTGTTCATACAATGTAAGTGTGTACATAAAACAGTTTGGTTACCAATATTCTTCAAAATATCTTCTTTTATGTTCCACAAAAGAAAAGAAAATCATACAGGTTTGAAACAACATGAGGGTGAGTAAATCATGATAGAATTTTAATTTTTATGATGAACTGTCCATTTAACAACCCATCACACAGAAAGACACATTAACAAAAATCTGTTTTCATAGGATTTCAAACAATGTAAAAAGGTATTTTGTACTTTATTCATGTTTTTTTTTTTCTGTTAAGACAACTAAATAACTTTATATATATATATATATATATATATATATATATATATATAAACAAAAAAATATACTAGCCAATGGAGATTC